TAAGCGCAGTAGTTATGCATGCTCCAATAGGGCTCACTGCCTCCATACTAGTGCGCTGGTGTTATGAAGAGGTTGCGGGGATCCTTGATTAATATTATCGGCTGCTGATGGAGTCTCTGAGTGTCAAGCGAGCCCAAAATATCAGTATATCTTACCTGGATATTGCAGAAAGGTTTGAGTTGATGGGTTGTTAAGTGATCGATCCGCAAGTGCAGGTGGTTAGTCAGTACTTCTCGGTCTTGCTTCGTTCAGCATTTTATAAGTATCACCAGCACTACTATCACAGGGCGAGAGAATGGGAGTGCCGCACAGCCTTAAACTCGTGTATGGAGTGAAACTATAGAGAGACGGACCGAATTGTAGAAGGAAACCGATTCTAACCCACGTTAGGTTGTAGAACCCTGTCAACTGCGACTTCAGTGTTCTCTCACCAAGTTTGTGTACCAATATTTCTGTTGTTCGCCGGGCCTTCATAAGCACGCAATCCTTCCGCATTGTTTGACTGAACTTGTGGGAGAGCCGAATTCCTATTGTGATGAAATTGTGGACCGGTATCTAATATTAGCCACCTGTCGAGTGTAAGCTAGGAGATCCGACTAGTATTGGATACAGCAAAAGAGTGCTACGAGTCATATATACATGCTACTTTGCAGAAAACATCGAGGTTAAATAGATTAGTGGCACAGCGGTTAAAGCCCATCAACTACGGAGCGAGAGGAAAGCAAATACATAACAGACAAGCCCTCCAATCACTTAGAATAACAGCTGAACAACGAGAAAACAATAGGTCGACGGAAGATATGTCCATGGAATGAGAAATAAACAACTCCTTACCGGTGCCTGTTTTGAAAAGGCAGACAATAGAGAACTCCCGCAGTTCGGACGCATCACCATACAGAGATAACACGGCCTGCCCACCATGTCCACCCAATTAATCCAATAGGAGCCAGCAACGCCCACACAGTAATATCCCACCAAATCCGTCTTCCGAATCGTCGCTTTTGGAGACTTCTTTCCTTCCTCACCAGAAGGTCATCTGTTGAAGCGCTATCCTTGGGCAGAATAATCGAAAGCGGCGGTCGAAGCGTGTGAAGTGTAATGTGTAATAGTGCTGAACAATGGAAGGAAGGAGGCCTGTGTCAATCGTCTATTTCTGAGGAGAGGACAAGAGTT